GGCACCACCTACTGCCATTCAGGCAGTGCCAGAGGGGAGCCAGGGCACTGAACTCCCTGCTTTGACAGGCTGGCCTGCTGTGCTGGCTCTTTGGTGGTCTTTTGATGTCACCATCTCTACGATGTATTTTTGGAAGAAGGAAAAGAGAACTGGGTGTGGTGGCTCGAGGTGGAGTCAGGAAGACCAGGAGTTCAGATTCACCTTGGCTCCATGGCTAGTTCAAACACAGCCAGGGCAGCCTGAGACCCTGTCACCAAAAAAACAAAACAAAACAATCAAAAAACATCACCAGGCAGAGCAATATAAGGGAGGGAAACAGTTCCACTCATCTTTACAAAGTTCACCTGGTGAAGAAGTTGAAATTTGTAACCTTCCAAGGTCAAATACTGTTTGACTGCCATTAGCTAGTCTCTCAAGCACACGGGTCTGGTGCACTCCACTAGTTGACTTGAAACTCGTGGGTCTGGTGCGCTCGCTAGTGGACTTGAAACACGCGGGTCTGGTGCGCTCGCTAGTGGACTTGAAACATGCGGGTCTGGTGCGCTCGCTAGTGGACTGGAAATGCTGCTTTGCTGTTGTTTTGAGACTGAGCCTCTGGTAGCCAGGCTGACCTCAAACTTGTTATATAGCCAACTTCGTAACAGCTTCTGCCTCTGCCTCTGCCTCTGCCTCTGCCTCTGCCTCTGCCTCTGCCTCTGCCTCCCCACCCCTGCTTCCTCCTGGGACCAGTCCTGCCACTTAGAGCTGCTGTCACCAAGACTTCTTCGTGCCCTGTCACCTGTCCTGGGCTAGGAAATAGTCTCCAGTCAGTGGTCTGGGAGTCTCCCCTAGACATGGTTCCATCTTTCACACAACACAGTCTTACAGAATTCACATGGTGTCAGCGGCCCGTCCTGTCACCATGGGGCCGTACATACGGGAGGAAAGACCTCAACAGAAGTACAGAAGCCAAGGAAGAATTCAAAGGGAGTGAGCCCACAGGATGGTCCTGGGGTGGGTGGCTCAATGGGTCAAGGCCCTTCTGATAAGCCTGATGTTTGATCCCTTGATTCACATGGTGGGAGGCAAGAACCACACATAAGTCATGGCATGCACACACTATACACACACAATACTAAACAAATACATTCATGGGCTGGAGAGATGGCTCAGCGGTTAAGCGCACTGCCTGCTCTTCCAAAAAGGTCCCGAGTTCAATTCCCAGCAACCACATGGTGACTCACAGACATCTATAATGAGATCTGGTGCCCTCTTCTGGCCTGCAGGCATACATGTAGGCAGAGTACTGAGAATACTGTATACATAATAAATAAATCTTTAAAAAAATACATTCGCTAATTAAAAAATTAAATTGGGGGTGGGGCTGGAGAGATGGCTCAGTGGTTAAGAGCATTGACTACTCTTCCAGAGGTCCTGAGTTCAATTCCCAGCACCTACGTGGCAGCTCGCAGCTGTCTGTAACTCCAGTTCCAGGAGACCTGACACCCATGGCAAAACACCAATGCACATAAAAAAAAAAAATTTAGTTGGGGAGCTAGAGAGATGGTTCAGCACTCAAGAGTGCTTGCTGCTCTTTCAGAGGGCCCAGGTTCAATTCCTAGCACTTACATGACAACTCAAAACCATCTGTCAGGGGCTGGAGAGATGGTTTAGCAATTAAGAACACAGACTGCTCTTCCAGAGGACCAGAGTTCAATTCCCAGACCCCACATGGCAGGTAACTCCATAATCTGACACCTTCACACAGACATACATGGAGGCAAAACACCAATGCAAATAAAATAAAAATAAATTTTTTTTTAAATCTTTAATTTCAGTTCCAAGGGATCCAACACCCTCTTCTGGTTTGTCCAGGCATCATGCACACATGTGGTACACATGCAGGTATACTTGTAGGAAAACATTCATACATATAAATCTTCAGTTGGGAAAAAGCTCTGTTTTGTTTTTATTTGGAGAGTGCACAGAAAGGTCAGAGGACAGCTGCATTGAGTCAGCTCTCCCTTCCACCTTTGTGTGTTGTGTGAATCAAACTCAGCCCACCAGGCTTGTGACAGATGCCTCAACCCACTGAGAAGTCCCTCAAGCCCTTCTTTTGCGTTGTTTGAGATAGGATCTCTGTGTTGCTCAGACTGGCCTTGAACTCACAGAGATCCACCTGAGTTTGCCTTGAAAGTGCTGGGAGTACAGGTGTGGGCCAGCCACTGACCTTTACAATGTAGAATTCTCAGGGTTCCCTGGCTGTGAAGGCTCATAGCATTCTATCCACAGGGTGAGCCAGAGAGGCTGCCTGCCTGCTTGGCAGTGTTTGATGAACCCCATTGGTTTGGTAAGGGAGAATATACAATAAGCTGGGGTAGGGTGCTTGCTCAGCACATTTGAGACCTCCTGGTTTCATCCCGATTATCAGCTTGTGCTCCTGGTGCTAGTGGGAGTGACCCCTGTGGTTCACCTTAGGACCAGGTTACCCACACAGCATCTTTCAAGTAGAGGAGCTGGATAAGGGTGTCAACAGGGAGGCAGAGACACTGGGAAAGGGATGGACATGTTTTGGGGAGGTAGGTTTTTTTCATACTGTGTGTGTGTGTATGTGTGTGTGTGTATGTAGTGTCTGTATAGTCATCCACTTTATTTTTTGAGACAGGGTCTCTCACTGGGACCTGGAGCTTGTAAGTTGTGCCGGTGAGCCCAGGCATCCCCCTGTCTCTGTGCTTCCAGCATGGAGGTTACCAGTGTGTGCCACCATGTCCAGCTTGTTGTGTGGGTGCCAAGAATACTCTCGCCAGCTGAGCCATCTCTCAGCCCCTCATTCACAGTTTTCATTTGTACAGACAGAGCCTTAGACACTTCATTTTTTTGTGATGCTGAGAACAAACCTTAGCATCTCATGTGCTTCTCATGTGCTGTCCCACTGAGGCCTGTTCTCAGCTTTACAAATTAAGTTTAGAAGAACCATACGTGATATATATTTAACCTCAGCACTCTCAGGCGAAGGCCAAGCGGAGTTCGAGGCCAACCTGGTTCTAAACCAGCCAGGGATACAGTGAGAGATCTGTCTCAAAACAAACAAAAAAACTAAACACAAGGATAATAAAATAATTGGACAGTTTATTCCATGTGGTAGTGATGTCTGGGAAATGAGGTGTGGTTTATGGTATGAACTGATGCATGTTTGGTATCAGGATGTATTATGGATTTCTTTGGTGTGTATATTTTCTGGCTTGTGATTTGTATGCAGCTGTGGCTGTCCTGGTATTCATTAAGAAGACCAGGTTGTCCTTCAGCTTGCGTTACGTCTGCTGCCTCTGCCTGCCAAATGCTGAGAATACCGATGTGTGCCACCATGCCTGGCTCGTGTGCCAGACTGGCATATCCCTTTGATGATAGTTTTCCTGTTTCCAGAAGTCGTGTGTTCAGGAACGTTCGTGCCAGCGTGACCTCAAATAACTTGAGCCCGGGTGCTAAAGAGCCCGTTTCCCATGGCTGTTGTTAGTTTCAGCCATTGGCGCTGAACTCCAGAACAGGTCTCCCACTCCCCTTCCTTCCTTCTTCCCTCTCACTCGCCTCACCCTGGGTTCTGCTCAGCCGGGGTAATCAGTCCAGCAACCCAGCAAACCCAGCTGCCCAGGCAGGGCCCTCATCAGAAGTACTTACCCTTCCGTGCTCTTCCAGAAAAGAGAAAGTACCCTTCCCTGGGGCGGGAGGGAAATCTGCCTCTGTGAGGCCGTGTGATTGATCTGGGGGAACCAAAGGGAGAAGGGAGTTTGAACAGGGAAAAAACTCCCTGTAGGACTCTTCCTTCCTCTGTGGCTGGGCATGCCCCTCCTCTGGGCATCTCTTCAGGATTTCATTCCTCCGTCCAACTGCCGTTCACAACTGCTCTTTCCAACCGCTCCAGAATTCTTGGCCCTGGCGTTCTGTGATGTAAATTATTCCACGCATGGCTTGAAATGGGTGAGAAGCAGGGTTGCCAGGTGTCGGATCACTAGTGTAAGTTGACTGGCCCTCGGGGGAGAACCGCTCCTGGAATTTGTTCAGTTGTTACTGTCTGGGCCAGAGCTGTGCTGGCCATGCTTGGGGCTGCTGCAGGCAGGGAGAGGGAGCTCTGGGCTGGGGTGAACTGCTGGAGATTTTCTGCTTTAAGCATTCTCAGCCCCGCTATGGATTATTCAGCATTGAACTTAGACAGTGTTGCTGCACTGGGAAGCACCCAGGCCCCATGGCCAGAGCCAGTATCACCGTCCACTGTACAGGGCCTCTTGTTTTGTCTCCAAAAGTGGGGAGAAGCCGCTTCCTGCCTTCCTAGAGATCACCAAAATATGTTGAGAAATCTAGATTGCGCTCCGTGTTTAGCAGCATCTAAACGGAAAGACTCAGAGTCTGTGAGAGCTTTACTAAAGCAAATTTGCCCTCCCACTGTGTTCATTCTACACTTGAGGGAGTTATTCTTTATCCCTTACAGTCCGGTAGGGAAGCCGCATGTGCGAGGTCTCTGCCAGCTAGCTTAGGTTTTTCTAGACTCCTTTTACCCATAAGTTGAAAACCATAGAAAAAGCAATTTCGGTCAAAAACTTGTTCAAGTAACTGTAAATTTTATATATCTTACCTTTATTTTTATTGGCTTTGTTTTTGAGATCAGGTCACATGTAGCCCAGGCTGGCCTTCAGCTCCTGATCCTTTCTCTACTTCCCAGCTTCTGGGGTCACAGGTGTACACATGCCTGCCTTGCTGGCTTGTTTACTTTTCGTTTATTTCTGAGCTGGGGTCTTGCTGTTGCCCAGGCTGGTCTTGAACTCTTGAACTCAAGTTCCCCTCTCTCCTCAGTCTTATCTGAGTAGCTGTGACTCCTGGTGAATGGCACAAGGCCCACCGACCCCATCATTTTTCAAATGACATAGTGCTGGTCTGCTAAAGGAAAGCTCACAGTGTGCGGTTCCTCTGACTGCGTCCTCACTGCCGGGCGCCCGCTCCTCAGACTGACCCTGTCCCTTTCCTTGCAGTTGTCATGGACGATGATGATGACTCGTGTCTCCTCGATCTTATTGGGTAAGATGCTAACTCTGAACCCAGGGTGGCCCGGGGGGGGGGGGGGGTGGCACAGAACAGTGCGGTGGGGATCTTGAAAGCTCCTGGGCTTTTCACATAAAAGATAAGAATTAATTGTGGTTACAGCAGAGGGGCAAAAGAGATAGTTTCACATATGCATCATAATTCAGTAATCTACTCCCGTTTTGTTTTAAGTCCCAAGATGCCAGGTCTGGGTGTTTCTTACAGCTAGAGGGCTCGCCTGCACAAGCCAGGTCCTGAGTTCAGTCCCGGGGGCTGAAGCAGAGGTTGATTCCAGGAGGCAGAAATGAAGAAATTACTTAAAATAGGGAGATTTGCTAAAGCTAAAAATGTCGTTTGCTTTTTGCCTTCTTTTCTTTCTTTCTTTCTTTCTTTCTTTCTTTCTTTCTTTCTTTCTTTTTTTTTTTTCGAGATAGGGTTTCTCTGTAGCTTTGGAGCCTGTCCTAGAGCTAGCTCTTGTAGACCAGGATGGCCTCAAACTCAGAGATCTGCCTGCCTCTGCCTCCTGAGTGCTGGGATTAAAGGCATGCCCCACCACACGGCCTCTTTTTGCCTTCCTAAAAACATCAGCAACAAACCAGGCAGTGCTGGCGCACACCTTTAATCACATCACCTGGGAGGCAGAGGCAGGCGGATCTCTGAGTTCGAGGCCAGCCTGGTCTACAGAGCTAGTTCTAGGACAGCCAGGGCTACACTAGGAAGCCCTGTCTCGAAAAACAAAAAACAAAAGTAAAACAAAAATCTTAACAACATATTTATTCATTTTTTTTTTTTTATCTTTTTATTTTTTTGGTTTTTCGAGACAGGGTTTCTCTGTAGCTTTGGAGCCTGTCCTGGAACTAGCTCTTGAGTGCTGGGATTGAAGGCGTGCACCACCACCGCCCGGCTATCAACAACATATTTAAATATAAGTAGTAGTATTTATTTGTTTTCTCTCCTTTTCTTTCTGTTCTAGAGACCCACAAGCATTGAATTATTTTCTGCACGGACCTAGTAATAAATCAGTAAGTGTCCCTCAAGTGTCTCACAGACATGGCTTCTGTTTCTCCAGCCCTGCCAGTAACCAGCATGTTGACTTCTCCCCTTTGCAGAGCAGCGATGACCTGACGAGCGCAGGCTATCCTGCAGCCAATTCAAATTCAATTTTCGCCAACTCCACGGTGAGTATTAGAAATAGCCAAAGCTTTCTGTCTCAGAGAATCTGTGTGCACGGAGAATCATTGCCTTCCTAGCGTGAAAGAATCAGTGCCTTGGCCAGCTGGGGAGACAGAAGCAGACGGATCTTTGTGAGTTCAAAGCCAGCATGGTCTTCAGAGCAAGTTCCAGGACAGACTACACAAAGCTACACAGAGAAATCCTGTCTTGAAAATTAGAGAAAAAAAAAAAATCATCCCCTCTCATTGTAATTTACAGGAGAGGAAAAATCTGTCAATTATGTCAGTGTTTTCTTTGGTTATATAAGTCAGGCTTATATAACCAAATTTCTTTTATTTTTTTTTATCAATTTCTTTCTTTAACATTTTTTTATGTATGTATATTGGGGAGGGTTTATACGTGAGCCCATATGTACATGCAGAGATCAGAAGGACACCAGCCGGGAGTCGGTTCTCTCATTCTGCCATGTGGTCCCAGGGATCGAACTCAGTTCTTCAGGCGAGGCGGCACTTCACCCCCAGAACCGTCTCTCTGGGCCTACATTCCTAAACTTTCAGGCCTTTGAAATGGCCCCGGTGTTGCATATGAAGAAGGCATAGTAGGATGACAGCTTCAGACACTTTTTCATTATAATTACTTACAAATAATTTTAACCTGAAGCAAGAAGACAGTGATAACTAATGCTTATTGAGGGTATAGTGTGTACCTGTCACTGAGGACTTGTATGAACTGCACAGAATGCTCACAGTACCTCCAGGAAGAAGTTTTACCATTGGTTCTGTTTTGTAGGCAAGGAGGCTAAGGCACAGAGAGGTTTTTACTCGGCCTAAAATTGCACAGCTATGAAGTCCATAGCTGGAGCCTATGCTGTTAAGCTCTAGGAGAATTTCGACAGGGTGGGAACTGAGGGGTTTTGCAGCCTGGGGATCCGGCTCAGTAGGTGAGAGTGCATGCTGTGCCAGAGTAAGGACCTGAGTTCAAATCCCCAGGACCCACAGAAAAAGCCAGACTTGGCTGCAGAAGTGCCAATAACCCCAGTGCTGGGGTTGCTGAGACTTCCTGGTGCCAGCCGGGCTCCAGCTTCAGAGAGAGACCCCCATTCAAGGCAGTGAGGCAGAGGGCACTAGAGCAGGACAGCGGGCATCTTCTGTTGTTCATGCACAGCTGGCCCACGTGTGCTTTGTGCTGCACATGCCACACACACGCACAGAAGGGGAGTCACTGTTTACACGTCACACACACGTGCAGAAGGGGAGTCACTGTTTACACGCCTCACACACCCGTAGAAGGGGAGTCACTGTTTACACACCACACACACGCACAGAAGGGGAGTCACTGTTTAAACTTTATCACCTTGGGCTTTTCCATTCCGTTCTTCTGCTCCAGGTGACGGTGTGCTGTGAGACTGCCCATGTCTGTGTCCTGTGCCACTCCTCGGTCCTGTTCTTCTCAGTAGGAAAGCACAGTGACAGACTGTCTCACAGCGGTCCCTGTAGTCAGCAGACAGGCTTGTTCCATCATCACAGTCTTTGTGTCCCTCATCTAGAGAACCCCGGTGGCATGCAGAGTCGTGGGCATGCCCAGGTCTTCAGGTCTCTTGGGGTATTAGCTGATGCCATCATGCAAGACCCCTTGACCCGCTCTGGCAGCAGCAAGGCTGTGAGAGCTCATGTCCTGGAAGACTTGTGACTACGTGACCTTTTGATTTTTCCTGTGGTACTAGGGATTCAACCCAGGACGTCATGTGTGCTAGGCACACGCTCTCCCCACTGAGCTACACCCCAACCCTCTTCTGCTGAGGTTGATTTCATCCTGCGCTCCTGCAGAACCTCAGCAGTTCTCTGCCCTTCGTCTTCTGCATGCTAGAGCCACGGGTGCCAGCCACGCTGCTCCACTTGGGCTTTGATGTTGCTCTCACTTGCTGCCCCCGTGATTCATGAAGATTCCCTGTGAGGTGGCCCCTAACACCTCGTTAGCCAAGGACTCAGAATTGTTAACATTTTGCAAATCAAAATACTTTTTTTTGATTGTTTGTTTGCTTGTTTGTTTGAGACAGGGTCCTGGCTTTCCTAGAACTGGCGATGTCAATCAGGCTGGCTTTGAACTCACAGACATCTGCTAGCCTCTGCCTCCCAAGGACTGGGATTAAAGGCGTGCACCATCACACACAAGAATACTTGTTTTTGATCAAATTATTTTTTTTAAATATTTAATTTTTTATTTTATGTGCACATTTGTCTGTGTGAGGGTGTTGGATACCTGGAACTGGAGTTGCAGACAGCTGTGAGCTGCCATGTGGATGCTGGGAATTGAACCCAGATCCTCTGGAAGAGCAGTCAGTGCTCTTAACCTCTGAGCCATGTCTCCAGCCCGATCAAATTATTTTTAACTTATTATTATTATTATTATTATAGTATAGTACACACAGCAGGATTACTTCCTAAGGCTGAGGGGTAACTCAGTGATAGAGCACTTACTTGCCTTGCATGCGTGAGGCCCTGGGTTCCATCCTCAGCAGCAAATTAACATGAATAAATATATTAATTACTGTCTTAACTCTCTGTGTGTATGCATTTCATATTTTTTCTTATTTAAGTGGCTATTCCCTCAGCTTTTTCCCATCTGTCGCACAGAAGACGACTGGCCACAGTCGGTGTCTTCAGCTTCTCCTGGATCTGCATTGCAATCTCTATGTAGATTGCTTGTTCCCAGGGGTTCCTTGAGGACAAAACTAACACATACATATCTGGAAAATGACAGCTTTTACTTGAGCTAACTGGGTTTGTTTTTGTTTGTTCATTTGTTTTTAGTTTGAGATAATTTTGCTTACTACTTGAGTGTTGATAAGTAAATATTTACAGGAAGTGAAGCCAGCACCCATGTCACGTTGAACTAACGTTGGTCTGGTCTGATCTTCTGGGGCTGTGGTGGGTACCTTAGACTGCGAGCAGAGCTACACCAGAGCTGCTCAAGCCCCTTTGCCATCATCATGGGATCTGGGGCTAAGTCCCACTCAGGTCTTAGTCTGGGAATAATCTCAAAAACAAAGTTTCCTGGAACTGCATATAATACCATGAGGTTCTAGGTTCACTCTTTAGCACACCCACACCAAAAAGAAAGCCAGCTGGGTGTAGTGGTGCACTCCTTAAATCCAGCACTTAGGCAGAGGCGGGTGGATGTCTGAGTTCAAGAACAGACAGGGCTACACAGAGCAACTCTGTCTTGAAAAAAAAAAAAAAAAAGGAAAGAAAAGTATGATGCCGTAGCTCAGAAACATTAAGGTGATGGCCACGATGTCTTGTTATTTCTGTCCACGCATCTGCATCTGTTCTTGTTGTGTTTTTGAGATGAATCTTACTCTCTATAGTCCTGGCTGGCCTGGAACTCACTGTATGGGTCAGGCTGACCTTGAAGTTTCCTCCAGAGTGCTGTGCCACCACCAGGTTTTCTTTACGTGTGAGACAGTCTCACAATTTAGCCCCGGTTAGCCTCACGCTTGCTAACATAGTCCAAGCTGACCTCAACTCTTGGCAGTCCTGAGCTTTGGTTCTGAGACTGCAAGTGTGATTTGCCACACCTCATCCTGCTTCTTATATGTTCCCTATAAAATAATCTGTCAAAGCAACAAAGTAAAATAGGAAAGACAGGGCAGGCAGTTTGGAGAGAGTTGGTCTTACAGAAAAACTGCCGGTTCGAGGCCAGCCTGAGTAAGACCTGTTTAAAAGTGACAGCAAAGCCGGGCGGTGGTGGCGCATGCCTTTAATCCCAGCACTCGGGAGGCAGAGGCAGAGGGATCTCTGTGAGTTCGAGACCAGCCTGGTCTACAAGAGCTAGTTCCAGGACAGGCTTCAAAACCACAGAGAAACCCTGTCTCGAAAAACAAAACAAAAAAAAAACCTTCTGAGCTAAAAGTGACAGCAAACGAAAATGTGGTGTACCTTGACCGCCTCTCGTTAAGCTGTATTTACATTCATTCCCGCGTGAGATTTGTGTGCTTGCTTCTGAAGGTTCCATGTGTTTTGTGACACACTGCTTCTGCTTTTCAGAACGCTGACCCTAAGTCGTCCCTCAAAGGTGTAAGTGACCAGCTTGGAGAAGGGCCCAGTGATGGACTGCCACTTTCAAGTAGCCTTCAGTTTCTTGAAGATGAACTTGAGTCTTCTCCTCTTCCTGATCTCGGCGAGGACCAACCCTTTGACATTCTTCAGAAGTCCTTGCAGGAGGCGAATATCACTGAGCAGACACTGGCCCAAGAGGCATACCTGGATGCCAGCGTAGGCTCAAGCCAGCAGTTTGCACAAGCTCAGCTTCATCCTTCTTCATCAGCATCCTTTACTCAGGCTTCTAACGTTTCTAATTACTCAGGTCAGACTCTGCAGCCTATCGGGGTGACACACGTGCCTGTGGGACCGTCATTTGCAAGCAATACAGTGGGCGTGCAGCATGGCTTCATGCAGCACGTGGGCATCAGCGTGCCCAGCCAGCACTTGCCTAACAGCAGCCAGATCGGCGGCTCTGGGCAAATACAGTTGATCGGGTCATTTGGTAATCAGCCTTCCATGATGACAATTAATAATCTAGATGGCTCGCAGATCATATTAAAAGGCAGTGGGCAGCAAACCCCAAGCAATGTGAGCGGAGGACTTCTGGTTCACAGACAGACTCCTAACGGCAACTCGTTGTTTGGGAACTCCACTTCCAGTCCGGTAGCACAGCCTGTCACCGTTCCATTTAACAGCACAAATTTTCAGGCATCTTTACCTGTGCATAACATCATTATTCAAAGGGGTCTCGCACCAAATTCAAATAAAGTCCCAATTAATATCCAGCCAAAGCCGATCCAGATGGGTCAGCAGAGTACGTACAATGTGAACAGCCTGGGAATTCAGCAGCACCATGTCCAGCAAGGGGTCTCCTTCGCCTCTGCAAGCTCGCCCCAGGGCTCCGTGGTTGGTCCACACATGTCTGTGAACATTGTCAACCAACAGAACACGAGGAAGCCTGTCACCTCCCAGGCCGTGAGTAGTGCAGGGGGCAGTATCGTCATTCATTCCCCCATGGGCCAGCCTCACACCCCCCAAAGTCAGTTCCTTATACCTACAAGCCTTTCCGTCAGCTCCAACTCGGTACACCACGTCCAGACCATAAACGGGCAACTTCTTCAGACTCAGCCCTCGCAGCTCATCTCTGGCCAGGTGGCCTCCGAGCATGTCATGTTGAATAGGAGTTCTTCTAACATGCTCAGGACCAACCAACCGTACTCTGGACAGATGCTTAACAACCAGAACACCGCCGTGCAGCTGGTGTCTGGGCAGACTTTTGCCACCTCTGGCAGTCCCGTGATCGTCAATCATGCGTCCCCTCAGATGGCCGGAGGGCAGATGCCCTTGCAGCGGTCCTCGCCAACTGTATTGCACCTGTCCCCGGGGCAGAGCAGCGCTTCCCAAGGAAGACCCGGCTTTCCCGCCATGCCCTCGGTGACCAGCATGGCAGGGTCTACCCGGTTCCCTACTGTCAGCTCGGCCAGCACTGCGCATCCCAGTCTTGGGTCCGCAGTGCAGTCTGGGACATCAGGATCAAACTTCACGGGAGACCAGCTGACACAACAAAACAGGACTTCGGTACCCGTCAGTGTGCCCCATCGTCTTCCCGTTTCTTCTTCCAAACCTACCAGCACTTTCAGCAACACACCGGGAGCTCAGCCGCAGTTCTTCTGTCAGGTTAGTGTCCGCCACGGCATGGAGACAGAAAAACAGAATTCTGTCGTATTCACTCAAGTGCTGCTTCACCTTAGGTGAAATTTACCTATTAACTTCAGCTTTACAGTTTATGGTTGATTGATTGTTCATGTTCACTTTTTTTCGTTTTTCGAGGCAGGGTTTCTCTGTAGCTTTGGAGCCTGTCCTGGAACTAGCTCTTGTAGACCAGGCTGGCCTCGAACTCACAGAGATCCACCTGCCTCCCAAGTGCTGGGATTAAAGGCGTGCGCCACCACCGCCCGGCTGTTCTTCCTTCTTAAGGAGAGTCTCCCAGCCAGTGGGGCATTGCAGTATAGAGTGAAGATCCTAGGATCCTGGCGTTTGGGGCCAGTGAGATGGGTCAGCCTGACAACCACAGTGTAGAAGGAGAGAACCGCCTCGCAAAGTCACCCCCTGATGTTGACACACAGTACTGACTTACCATCTGTCGCTGAGGTGACACCAGGACCAAAGGCAGCCTGAAGCCTGAGGAGGAAGCAGTTTATTCAGCTCACCTTTCCCTGTCATGTCCGTCCCTGAGGGAAGTCAGTGTTATAATTCAAAACAGAAACCTGGAGACAGGAATCAGTGTAGAGGCCATGGAGGAATGCTGCTTATTGGCTTGCTCCCCATGGCCTACTCAGCTTCCTCCATCCCTCCTTCCCTTCCTTTCTTTCTTTTTATTTCTTCTTTGTTTGTTTGTTTGTTTGTTTGTTTTGAGACATGGTCTCACTATATAGCTCTTGCTGTCCTGGAACTGACTATGGAGACCAGGCTGGCCTCAAACTCATAGAGATCCACTTGCTTCTGCCTCCAGGGTTTTGGGATTAAAGGTTTTTTAGCTAGTTTCCTATATGCCCAGAACCACATGCCCAGGGATGGCATCCCCCACAGTGGGCTGGGCCCTTCCACATCATTTAACAATCAAGAAAATGTACCACAGACATGCCACAGGCATCTGACAGAGGCAGTTCCTCAAGTGAGGCGCCCGCTTCCCAGATGACTCCAGCTTGTGTTGAGTTGACATAAAAGTACTACAAGGATGCACTTGTATACACACATACATGTATAAACATACAAATAAATGCACTTGTACACACACGTATAAACACAAATAAATGCACTTGTACACACACATATATAAACACACAAATAAATGCACTTGTACACACACATATATAAACATACAAATAAACACTTGTACACACACATGTATAAACATACAAATAAATGCCCTTGTACACACACATAAACACACAAATAAGTACACTTGTACACACACATAAACACACACAAATAAATGCGGTATGTGTATTTTTCAATTCTTGAATTTGAATCTAGGCTTTACGAGATGTATGACATGCAGCCAGTAGAGTCATGCTGCAGACTTCATTTTCGTGAGTGAAATGGGATAATAATAAATCCGCCGTACCATGGAGTTACTGGGAGACAAGCGGTATCTTCCCCGAGCACAAGGGTTAATCCATTGGGCAGAGCAGAACCTTAAGGATCATCAGCTGGCGACCACGCCATCACTGAAAGGACATTTCAGCTGGGTAAACGTGGCTGCTGCTTGTGAGCCACCTGGACGCTCAGGGACTCTGCCACTCAGAAGTGGTCGCTGGCCCTGCCCAGAGGGAGGCATGGGGGTGGTCAGGAGCACTCTCCTTTGACCAGTACCTGAGCCTGCACAGTTGGTAAAGCCATACAGAGATTGTTGCTGAAACACTTTGATGTGATCCTCAGCTCCTGTCCTCTCTTTAGCAGGCTTTTTACCTTTCTTGTCCTCCTCATTTCCTCAGTCAGACACAAAACTCAGTGAGAGCGTGCTTTACCTGGCTCAGTTCCTGGCTTCCTGCCTCAGCACAGCAACTGTAGAGCATGCTCACATGATCATCACAGCTGGTCCTCCTCCCACCCACACACCCACCCCATCACATCTTCACAGCCTTCTCTACCTGCAGAAGGTTCTGGAACGTACATTTCTATATTAGTATATTCATTGTCAATCTTTTAAATGTACAGATACCAATCTGTATACCTCAGGTATACAAATCCATACACAGGCACACACACAGAGTTTAAAATCATAAAAATAGGAGCTGGAGAGATGGCTCAGCAGTTAAGAACACTGACTGCTTTTGCAAAGGACTGGAGTTCAGTTCCCAGCACCTGCCTGGCAACTCCCAGGTCGGGAAAGAAGCCTGGTCATGCAGGCTGTGTTCACAGTTGGTCCCACTTCTCAGCAACACCCCTGATAGCGAAGGGAGGGAAAACCATTTCATTGTGGTGTATGTAGTCCAAGACAGTGGCTCATCTCACTGCATGCTTTAAAACCTACAGGAGTCTCATGTCTTCGCTGCTGGTGTTTGTACCTGTTTGTTTCTTATCATTCATTTATCTTGGGGTGTGGGACACACATAAGTTACCATAAGTTACAGAGCACCCTGGAGGTCAAGGGAAAACTGTGGGAGTCTCCCCCTTACCCACCGGGGCTCAGGATTGGCAGCAAGTACCTTAACTGGCTGAGCCATCTCACCAACTCTGGTTTTTATTAGATGTATTTATTCCTGTGTGAGTGTGTGTGTGTGTGTGTGTGTGTGTGTGTCAGGGGCAGTCAAAGGACAGTTTGCAGGAGTCAGTTCTCTCCTTCCACCATATGGATTCTGGGAATTCAGTTCGGGTCATCGAGTCCTGATAGGCAAGCCCCTTCAGCTGCCGAGTCATTTATTTATGTGTGCAATGTTTGCCTCTGTGACTGTGCACCACAGACATGGCTGGTGCCCAGTGAGGCCACAAGAGGATATTGGCATCTGGAATTGGAGTCACATATGGTCACGAGCCACCATGTGGGTGCTAGGAACCAGACCCTGGTCTTCTGCGAGAACAGTAAAAGCTCTTAACTATTGAGCCATCTCTCCAGCGTCCAGCAGAACTTTCTTGCTGAGCCCGTGTTTTGTGTTAAGACAGAGGCTCACATGGTAGCCTAGACTGGCCTGAAATTTTCTGTGTAACTCAGACTGGCCTTAGATTTGAGCAGTCCTGTTTCTGCCTCCTAAGTACTGGGATTATAGGCATAGGCCACCACGTCCCTCCCCCATCGTTCTTTGTCCTTGTGTTTTGGAAAGCTATGAAACAGTTTTTTTGTGTATGTGTGTGGTTGTGTGTGCGTGTGTGTATGTGAAGAGGGGGCAAGACAGGGTTTCAGTGTGTAGCAGCCCTATCTGTCCTGGAACTTGCTTCTTTTTTTTTTTTTTTTTTTTTTTTTTTGGTTTTTCGAGACAGGGTTTCTCTGTGGTTTTGGAGCCTGTCCTAGAACTAGCTCTTGTAGACCAGGCTGGTCTCGAACTCCCAGAGATCCGCCTGCCTCTGCCTCCCAAGTGCTGGGATTAAAAGCGAGCGCCACCACCGCCCGGCTGAGACAGGGTTTCTCTGTAGCTTTGGAGCCTGTCCTGGAACTGGTTCTTGTAGAACATGCTGGCCTCAAACTCACAGAGATCCTCGGGATTAAAGGCATGCACCACCACTGCTTGGCCCTGGAACTTGCTTTATAGACCAGGCTGACCTTGAACTCACAGAGTTCTTGAATGCCCACTGCCCAGCAGAGGCAGTGTTTTTAATGGCCCTGGGTTTGGATTGCTATGAGTAAACTCGGGGTACATTTTCAGAGTTGTCAGATGCCGGGTGCTCCCAACTCCTAGTGTGATTGGTCCTGTCCCTCGTACCGTGAACTCTGAACACTGGGTGTCCACTAAGTTCCCCCATTGTGTTTCCTTCTTCTGGGTGTGGTGGTGCACGCTGTGATGAGTACTTGGCAGATGGAGACAGGAGGATCGATCAGGAGTTCAAAACTAGCCGGGGCTACGTAGTGAGCTTGAGGCCACCCATCCTCGGCTACCCCAGATCCTGATTTTCACAAAACAGAAATACTCAAGACTCTGGAGATACACAGGTTCCATTCAGATTATCTCCACTAGCCTGAGCTGCCAGAGGCAGTTCCTGACTTACGACAGTTTCCCCAGGTGGTTCAGTGTACCCAGCGTCCCTAGTACCCATCCCCAGCTGCCCAGCACTGACGAGTGATTGTACTCTGGGTGGTTTCCCGTCTCCTCTGGTGGTGTTTTACACAGTGGGCACAGACGCTGGTGCTGCCACCGCCTTATCTCAGGCTCACCCAGATCCTGCCGATGGTTCCCTCCACGTTGTCTGCCGTGCCTTCTGCTGTATGTCCTTCATGATTAGAGTGCTCTTCAACTTCTGACAAAACACTCCGTTCTTGTTCATTGTTTGCTTCCTCTGCCCCTTCCATGGAATCAGCACTTTGTTTTCTGTGAGAGAAGGTCTCACGTAGCCCAGGCTGACCTCAAACTTGTAGTACGGTCAAGATAGTCCTGAGTTCCTGATCCTCCTCTAAGCCCTGCTTCCCAAGTGCTGGGCTTATAAACTGGTATCTCCATACTGGACTGGATTTTTTCTTTTTCTTTTTATTTTTTTTTTTGGTTTTTCGAGACAGGGTTTCTCTGTGGTTTTGGAGCCTGTCCTGGAACTAGCTCTTGTAGACCAGGCTGGTCTCGAACTCACAGAGATCCGAACTCACAGAGATCTGCCTGCCTCTGCCTCCCGAGTGCTGGGATTAAAGGCGTGCGCCACCACCGCCCGGCTGGATTTTTTCTTTTTAAAGGAGAATCCTAGCCCAGTGTAGCTAAAAACAGACATCTGGAGCTGGGAGTAGGTGCAGCGGCAGAGTGCTTGTCAACATCTGGAGCTGGGAGTAGGGCAGCGGCAGAGTGCTTGTCAACATCTGGAGCTGGGAGTAGGGCAGCTGCAGAGTGCTTGTCAACATCTGGAGCTGGGAGTAGGTGCAGCGGCAGAGTGCTTGTCAACATCTGGAGCGGGGAGTAGGTGCAGCGGCAGAGTGCTTGTCAACATCTGGAGCTGGGAGTAGGTGCAGCGGCAGAGTGCTTGTCAAGCGGGCTGGAGTT